CCATCCCTGCCTGGCCAGGAGCAGGGAGCAAAGTCCTGGGGGCCGCTGGAAATGCTGCGTGCCTGGCCTTAACCCCGTGGGCTCCGCGGGGTGGTGGGGAGAGCTGGATCCCCGGGCAAGGCAGCTGCCCCGGGCCCTCCCTGGGGTGCTGCTGCCTGCTGAAAGCCCTCGCAGGCGATGGCGGTGTGCGCTGCCTAGACAAGGCTCTCCCCAGCCAACGCTTCTTGTGTTAGGCTGCGTTCGTTACCGTGGACGCGCTGTGTGCCCTGCCAGGGGACAAGGACGGTGGCTGTCACCCATCGGTGTTTACCCAGCTGTTGGCCAGTGCTGATCCCTCTGCCTGCTGCTGCAGGGCCTCGGGGGACAGGGCCCGGGTGAGCGAGGCGGTCTGCACGGGGTAGACCCTGCTGACCCGTTGAGTTCGCGTTGATTCCTGGGCCGTTGGCAAATGGAGCCGGCCTCTCTCCGTCTCTGCCAGCTGCTGCGCGTGTCCGGAGACTCCCGGCCTGCCTGGCAGGAGGGTGGCCCCGCGTCCGCATGTCCCCCAGCCGTGCTGGCAGGGAAGCAGTGCTGAGCCCAGCCCGCAGACAGCCTGCACCTGCAACGCTTTAATTCTCCTCTGCCCCTTCCCCTCTGCGCAGGCAGTCAGGAGCGGACGGCCGACCCCAGCCAGGACGACCCAGCGAGCAGCCCGGCTCCGGAGCACACTGAAGACGCCCTGCCTGGGGAGCAGCAGAACGGGCAGCACGTGCCAGGTTGGTCTCCCTGGTGTGGCCAGCACCCGGCAGAGACCCCGTGGAGGAGGCACCGGCGACAGGGCTGGGCCTCCGTCCACCCACAGAGCTGTTGGCTTCCAGCACCTCTGGTCCAACCCTGCCGGTGTTTCAGGCGTTGCCTGAGTCATGGCAAGCTGGAGCTTTTCGTGGGTCCAGCTCTTGGCGCCGTTCTCAACGCTGGGGTAACCCTGGGCGTGTTGGTTTGACTCTGCGTTGCTCTTACCTGTGCAAAGGGGCCTGATTCTGCTAAACCGCAGTGAGAAGGCGAGGGTGTTTCCCTGTGGAATGGGAAAATGTCACCCTGGAAGGTCATTGTTCCGCAAGGGGATGTTCTCCCTCGGCTCAAGCCAAGCCCGCCCCTTCCGTGGCACCGGGAGCCGCGGTGCCAAGCCCCGGCCCTCCCTGTCTGTGCCATGGCTAATGCCTTGGTCCTGGCTTTTCTTGTACAGCCCCCCCTTGTGTACTCACCCACCCACCTCCTCGTGCCTCCCCCAAGGGCACACGCGGCTCTCCCGGCCCGGAGGG